AGATTTGATTGGCTGAAATTTGAGTAAGAATTTTTGTGTCTATACCCATGAAAGATATTGTCCTATAGTTTTTTTTTTTCCCCGTCCACTTTCTTCCCTCCCATTTTTTTAGTAGTACATGTTTACAACACATAATAAATACATTTGCTGTGGGGAATTGGTGCACATAGGTATGAGATCATTGTTTTGTTTTTCCTTTTGTTTTTTTCAGACAGGGTCTCACTCTGTAGTTTAGGCTGGCTTTGAACTCACTGCGTGGCCCAGTCTGGTCTTGAACTCATGATGATCCTCCTGTCCAATTAACATCTGTCTTTATGGCCTAGAAAGAAGCTACTGATTTCATGGCAATTTCTGGAGAGAGGACTCTGTCTTTCTGGGGCACATATATTAGTATTTCCATCTTTGCAGGTTCTTGTAGCTGTCTGGGGAGTGTGCTAGGACTGGACTTAGGCTCAAGCTCCACTGCTTAGCCATGTTACAACTCTGCCTGGGACTTTTACCTCAACATCACCAAGTGGGAATCAAGGCTGCTGCTAGGACTGGGCTTCCTGTGTCCAAGGAAATGAAGGACAAACCTTGTCCTAGACAAACAGGCAGTGTTGTAGTCAGGGTTTGCAAAGTAACAGATTTAATACAGGACACATAATTGATAGGATTATTTTATAATATTCATCCAAAAAGTCAAATGCAGAAGAGTGCAAGAGAGCTGTCCACACACTAGAGACCCAAAGAATCCCGCTAAAGGCTTGGATCCCATGGTAATGTCCTGCATGGGTCCAAATGAAGACCTACAGCCCATGGCAATATCCTCTATGAATCTAGCTGGAGGCCTAGAGCCCACGACAATGTCTCATGCAGGTCTTTATCAAGGATTTGCACTTGGGCGCTGGGGATATAGCTCAATGGCACAAGTGCCTGCCTGGCAAGTACAAGGTCCTGAGTTTGATTCCCAGTACAAAAAAAAAAAAGAAGAAAAAGAAGGAAGGAATTTTAGCCTGGCAAGCCTGAGGTCATGAGTTCAATTCCCAGTACAAAAAAAAAAATTAAAAGGATTTGCACTGGGAAGGCCCAAAGGTCAGTGGTAGGAGCTAGAAAGTCTGTGCCAGCAGGATGAAGGATCTGTGCCAGCAGGCTGAGGGATCTGCACTGGAGCCAGGAAGCAACACTCCAGATAAGGACCAGAGCTCCCCTGAAAAGAACAGCAGCCATCCTCATTGACAGCAAGGACCCATGCTCCTCTGACAATGAGAATAGTTGAGTTTGTATCACGAAAACCAGTGTGACAGGCTTCTCCAGGAGGATCAACAACATACCATCTTCCCCTCCAGTTCTCCCTTTATGCTGCTGGCAACAATCCTCAAGTGGGCCTTCCACACCCAGCATCATGCTCACTCAATTCAGCTGGGTGTTACAAGTTGACCATTAGTTAATCCACCACAATCCACCCCTGGTCAACTTGACAACCGGACACATTTCTTTAACCATAATCTCTAGTGACACACTTGTGGAAAATTAACATGTCTTGATCTATTCAGATTTGTATTAACATAATGATTACATATATACAATTCTTATTGTACTCATTTCCATACTGAAAACAAATATTCAAAGGGTTCTCAAAATTCAAGGTTAAAACCACAATACTTTGACTAAATAACCTGACTACAAATATCTATCTAAAAACTACACTGAAATCATATTTAAGACAGCTATTATAATCCCAGTCCTTGCTTCCCACTAACTTTTAACAACAGGGCATGAGAAGACTAAGAAATTCCTCAAGGGATCTCCTGCTTTTCACATATAGTCTTCCCTTCTGGTGAAAGGTCCCTCAAGTAATTTCTTCATTGTCCTGTTCCTTTCCATCAACCATGTTCTATTTCATCCTTGCAATCCACAGCTCCACTAGAGCCTTTCCTCTGGCCAAATGCTTCAAATCACCCTGCTGGCTATTCACTCTTAATCTTCAAAAGTAAACACGCCACCATCCGAGCACTATACTGCACTGAAATTTTTCTGCCACCCACACAATATCTCTAAAGCAAAATGCAGATCAACTTCTTGCCAAAGCACAACGTATACCACCTGGGATCCAGCAGCCAATGCAGTCTTTTTCAATGGAAGTTTCCTGAACCTCATCTTAACTGGCAGCATTTCCATCAGTACTCTGATTTTCAGGCTCTGGACAGTTTCCAATATAGTTTACAAAGTACTGGGGTTGCCTCTTCATCCAGTCTCTCAAAACCTTCCCAAATTAATTCCTAAGGCTCTTAAACCATATAGGCAGGCAACATCAAAGCAATGACCCCACTCCTGGTACCAAATTCTGTCGTAGTTACTTTTCCCTCATTGCTGAGATAAAATACCCAATGCCCAAAGTTAAGTGAGAAAAGGTTTATTTAGCTCACAATTTGTAGAGATTTCAGTCCATAATTGGCTGGCTCTAAGGCAGGGTGGCACATGGTAGAGGGGCAACAGTTTATGCAGGTGGAAGACAGCAAAAGCAATGACAGAGAGAAAGACAGAGAGACACAAATGGACAGACAGACAGAGATAAGCCTCCTTCTGTCCTTTATACTGTATTCAGGCTACCTGCCCTAGGGAAGGTACAGCACTCACACCCTTAATCCTAGCATTGGACCATGAATCAATCACAAACTCTAGATTCAGCCACCTCTGAAAAGCCCACATCCCATAACTGCATGAGGCTTTGAGAGGACATCAAGACACAAGCCATAACAGGCAGCTAAGCACTCCATGGCACTTCAGTGGCTCCCCACCTGGCCAGGCCCTTGCTAAGTGAAGGACTCTGGCTGACAGTGAGGTCCGGAGCCAGCTCTGTGCTTGAAGATCAAGAGTGTGAGGGAAAAGCCAGAATATTTTCTTGTGGAAGGGCTGATCAATACACAAGATGTATGTTTGAATAGGAAAACTGCCAGGCACAGTGGTACATGCTTGTAATCCTAGCACTTGGGAGGCTGAGGAAGGAGGACTGCCACAAGTTTAAGGCTAGCCTGGGCTACACAGTGAGTTTAAGGCCAGCTGGAACTATGTAGGGAGACCTTGTCTTAAAAATAAATAGATAGGAGAACTATTTCAGTAAAAAACACACTGCTGTGAAGCCCCTTCAGCATCCTCCCCATTGCTTACAACACACTTATACCACTGTTCTTGCCACTTTCTGGACTAGTTGTGGAAGTGCTCTTTCTTGAGCGTCATTATGAAGTGTGATCAAAAATACAATGAATGCTCTGCCTACTGCATCTAATACAAAGGCAGCCTCATAAAAACATGACACTGTCTTCATCGACCTTATTCACCAGATCTGGCACTATGCGACTTTTGACTCTTCCCTACAGTCACAATGACCATGAAAGGGAGATGTTTTAAACTGATTCAGGCAGGCCTTTGAGGCAGCCACAACAGTGCAAGTAAAGACACTCACAACAGAGGACTTCCAGAGCTGCCTCAGAAAGTGGCAAGGCCATGGGATAAGTGTGTTAGAAGGCAAGGGGGGGATTTTGAAAGGGACTTATGACAGTGTGTCTTTCACTGAACCATTTTTAAAACTGTAAGTGCTCACCATATTTTTCAATCACACCCCCTATGCTGGTGACTATGGAAACAGGAGCCAGGGGTGCTCAGAAGCCTTGCCTGCAGGCCTCTGCTGTCTGTTGCAGGGGGCACCTCCTGCTTCCCAGCTTGCCTTTCACCTTCCGCACTGTCCTCAGACCTCCAGGACACCAACGTGTTCCTGGGGCTGGTGTCATTCAGTGGGAATACCAACCTAGTGCGCCCAGGGTCTGACTTCAATCCCCAGCCCCTGATACACACACCCCCAGAAAACCCGGGTGCAGCGGCACATGCCTGTAACCCTGGCCATTTGAGAGGCTGAGGTAAAAGGGTCAAAGTCAACCTAAGCAATTTTCCATGACGCCCGCTCAGAGGTGAAAAAGGGCTGGGAATGTAGCTTGGTAGTAGTAGAGCACCCCTGGGCTAGAGCCCCAGTACTGAGAAAAAAGAATCCTCTCATATTTGTCAGTGACACCAGTCACCCGGGCAGATCTGTGACACGTGCTGAGGGGACACGCTGTCACCCGTGAGCACAGCCGCTCCTTGCTTCTAGAAGCGAATTCGCCCTTTAGATTTTTTACCAAGATGCTTCTGTGTGCATCTCCACAGCACCAACTCTGGGTTTAACGTCTCCTCCCTTGCACGCTCAGGCTCACGCTGGCAGCTGGGGGCACACACGTGGGCAGGGTACACTGCTTCCTCCTGGCACACCATCCACCACACAAAAGGTGTCTGGACTCCAGGGACTGAGACGTGGGTGTCACTAACTCGTGCCTGTCAGCCGAGCAGAATGTGCACACACACGGTCAAAATCTAGGCGGCGTGTTTTGCCAGCCAGGTTAGGAACCACAGACGTGCGAAGTCTCCAGCAGCCAACCACACCTCTGCCTTGCCAACCTGGAAGCTCTGGGCTCTCCCCACTCCTCCCGGTTTCCTTGGAGAACCACAGAGCAAGCACCACACTTGATCTCTGCTTGTTGCCAAGTTAACATAACCATAAACAATCCCAGTACTCCGGAGGCTGCAGGAGGCTCTCCGAGAGTTTGAGACCAGCCTGGGCTACACAGTGAGTTCAAGACCAGCCTGAACTACATAGCAAGATCTTGTCCCATAAAACCAACCAAAGAAACAAACAAAGACCCAGCCAAACAGTTCCTCTGTGTGTACCCAAGTGTTACAGACATAGCACGCCTGCGTTTCAAATTTCAAAGGCAGGGAACTTGGCAAAACTCCTGATGTGTCTCATATTTCTCTCTCCTCCCTGCTTTTTCCTTTCTCTCTCCCTCCCTCTCTTTCCTTTCTCCCTCCCTTCTTCTATCATCTGTCTTCCCTCCTTATTTTTTTCTTTCTTCCTTTTCACATATTTTTCAAGAAAATTTAGCTTGCAGAAAGAAAAATGGCCCTCTGACCCGCGCGCCTCCATTTACCCCAAATGGAAACAGTGAGACTTGTCCTGTCCTTCTTAGTTGCCCTGGGTCTGGAGCCAGGGGGTGATTTCAGGCTCCATTTGTGGGGCCAAGCAGCTCCCCCTAGGCCACACTCAGCTTGAGAATGTTGTGACAAAACTCCCCAGGAGGTTCCCAGGGAGACAGACATCGAAGAAGACATTAGCAGCGGCCCAGCTCACGCTCCAGGGAGACTGGCAACCTGCGAGCCTGCAGAAGAGATCCATGATAACTGCCCCTTATTTCAAAAATGCATTCCCTGGGCTAGGGCCATAGCTCATCAGCATAGTGCCTGCCTGCCATGGACAAGGTTGTGAGTTCGAGTCTTGGCAAAAAAAAAAAGAAAGAAAAGCACTGCCATTATTTGAGACAGAGAGGGTCTTTTTTGTTTTGTTTTGTTTTTGTTTTGTTTTCCCGGTACCGGGAATCGAACTCACGACCTTGCGCTTGCCAGGCAGGCGCTGTGCCGCTGAGCTAAATCCCCAGCCCCAGAGAGGGTCTTTATATAGGAAACCTGTTGTTTGCTTCTGCTTACTGAGATCATCAGGGAAAGAATGATGAACACTCAGAATTCTACAGAAGCAGTGCTTGCTTACTGGGTAGTGGCTTATTTCTATTTATTTATAGCTTTGATGGGGATTGAATGCAGGACTTTCACACTGATCTACGTCCCTGGCTTCCCCTCTTCTTGAAACAGGGTCTCACTAAGTTGCTAAGTTGCCTAGGCTGGGCTTTACTTTGCGATCCTCCTGCCTCAGCCTCCCAGAGTGCTGGGATGACTGGTGTGCGCCTCATCGGGATGGGACGCTGTGACTGCATGCACACAGGAGCAGGACAGCTCCTTGCAGCTGGGGCTCTGAGTGAGGGCTCTGCACCCTGCTCAGGTTTGAAAAGAGAGTGTAAACCCTGGGGCACCCACCCCTTCCCGACTTGTTTTTCCCATCAGGAGGCACCTGAGTCAGAGGGTGTTGTTTCTGGGATTCCTGTCAGCCTGCACGGAGCTTTGTGGAAAAGGTCTGAGGCCCTGACAAAGGAGAAAGAGCCCATGACTCGACCACCCCAAAGCAACCTTCCCATCACTAAGCGTGAGAGGGAGAGGCTGGGGTGCCATGACTTGGTCTCCCTAAAATCAGCTGGTGGCTGCAGCTCACAGCTGGATGCCTTGCAGGCTCAAGCATGAACCTTCTAAGCAGGCCGGGCTGGTACACCAGGCCCTGGGTTCTGCCCCAGCACTGCAAAAAAAAGAAAAGGAAAACAAAGATTATAAAGATGCTGCGTGTGTACTTAGTTTCTGTTCACTTTTTTGTTTTTTAGTCCGAATCTTGCTATCTAGGCCAGGCTGCCCTCAAACTCAGTGATCCTCCTGCCTCAGCCTCCTGAGTGCTGGGATTACAGGTGTGCGCCACCACACCTGTTTACTTATCTTCTTTTCCTGCAGCCCCATTAGGCAAGCAGCACAACAGGCCTGTGCTTGCCTGTGGGGTCGGGGGAGGTTTCAAGAATCCTCTTATGAGAACTGTCAACTCATTTCATAGGCGCCTACAGTGACCAAGAGGCGATCGGTAGCACAGACTTTGGCGGTGGAAGGGACAGGGCATTGTGCCCACACCGGTTCTCCCAGCCTCTCCTTCCAGGGCTTTCTGCTCCTTGGGCCAGAGATGGGCGGCCTTTTTCAGAAGTCAAAAGTATTCCATCCCGTGCCCACAAGGCATGAGACCCAAGCAGCTTCCAGCCTGGAAACCGTGGGCGAGGAGGCAGCCAGCCACTGGGTTCGCCAACCACTGCTCAGTTCCTTTTAAAAATACAGCAGTGACTCGGCGACCCCCCTGCTGTGTTCCTATCAAAAATGTAAAACAACAATCACGACTTGATTGCACCCTGCGCCCAGAAGGGACTCTCCACATGAAAGGCTTGACACAGTTTTGTGGAGCAGAACATTCTTTGAAAGCGCTGGCAGAAGAAAGCACTTGTTCAGGGGACTTAATTGATAGACGCTAGCGGCTTGGAAGGGCTGCCCGAGTTCAAAGGCACCGCTTTTAATCCCAAACCATTTTCATTTTACTTAACTTTTTATTTCTTTCTGGGTGACTACACTACAAACTTCTATTAATCTACTGCCAAGTCATTTTTCTTAAGAAGGTGGATACGTTACAAGCGCCCTCGCCAGGAGACGGCGCTCAGGAATGCTGCTAGCACAGCTCTGCGTAGATGAAAACAGAGGTCGGGAAAGTAGGCCGCTCTGTTCGTGCCTGGCAGTGTGTGGTGAGAGCAGGCAGGGCCAGGGCCTCTGTCCGAGTGGAGACGCGCCGCCTCTGGCGGTACATTATCTTGGCGAGGAAAGCTGAGCGTTTTCGCAGTTGGGATTGTGTGTTAGTGGAACAGTCAAAATGTCAGCTGTTGCAAGGCAAAGCATCCAGCTCACACTCAGGCGGCTGGACAGCGAGCATGGCTCGGAGATGACATTTCACGCTGTGGGGACGGCCGGGAGGCAGCAGAAACAGCCTGTGCAGCCAAGGAGGGAGTGGGGCTGGCAGCCGTGTCTTAGCGGAATTGTTTTTCCTGCCATTGCTGATACAAGACACTTGGAATGTGGCTTGGAGGCTGCCGCACGATGCAATTGTTTTTTTTTTTTTTTTTAATTTTCATTTTTGGCCCCATTTGAGCACGAAGAACTTAACAAAAGGGACCAGACTTGACATTTTCAACAGATGCCTTTTCTTAAAAACACCCCATAGTGAGACTGGCTGGCTCCAGCTGCTCTGTCTTCCTAAGATAGGTGGTGGTTTTTCCAAGCCTGATCACTGATGTTGGTCAATACCACAGCCACTTTTTGAGGGGGAAATAATAGATTGATTGATTTTATTGGTTTCTTTGAGACAGGGCCTTGCTACATAGTCCAGGTTGGCCTTGAACTCACTGTGTAGCCCAGACTGGACTTGAACTCATGGTGATGCTCCTGCCTCAGCCTCCTGAGTGCTGAGATCGCAAGTGTGTGCCACCACGCATGGCTCAAGAATGGATTTATTGCTGGGCGTGGTGGTGCATGCCTATAATCCCAGTGCTGGGGAGGCTGAGGCAGGAGGATCGCTGTGAGTTCGAAACCAGCCTGGGCTACAAAGTGAGCTCAAGGCCAGCCTGAACTGCATAGTGGGACCCTGTCTCAAAAAGACAAAAAAAAAATAAATAAAAAAACAAGAAGAATGGATTTATTGAGATGACTGTACTCTCTCCTTTTTGACTCTCAATCTTTCTACAGTTTTGCACATCATGACTTCCTGGTATTTTTCTTAATGTTATTTCTGACAAACTAGACCGGTGATGGTGAGCCTTTCAGAGCTTTCAAAAACACAAACACCCACTGCGTCCAGTGGGCCACAGGTTCACCGCCACTGGACTAGACTACTCACTTTCATTGGCTTTAGTAATTGAGCAGCATTGTCTGGGGTAGTTAAGAACAAGCATAAAATCTGGCACATTTAAAGTTATGTGGACGTAGTTTAGCACACTGTCCTTTAAGGCTGGCATTGCTGATTATGAAAGATTAATCAAAAACCCACTTGGGGCAGACTGTCTTGGCACGGCAAGATCATGAGCTAACCAGGACAGTGTACCCCTTCCTACCCACTGGGATGCTTGCTGGCAAAAAGCCAGACAAATCCTGAGGAAGCTGCAGGGAAAGGAACCCTGGTGCCCTGGTGATGGGAACACGAAGTGCTGCAGCCGCCGTGCAAAACAGCGTGCGTCTCGGTCACTTTCCCCACCACCAGCACCGGTTTAAGGGAGGAGGGGTTTATTTCCGCTCACGGTTTCAGTCCATACTCGGTGGGCTCCAAGGCACTACAGCTGGGCCTGTCCGAGGGAGCTGCTTGAGGCAAGGCAAACAGGAAGCAGAGAGCAAAGGGAGAAGCTGAAGAGGGAGACAGACCTCACAGGCCGCGCCCCAGTGACAACCTCGTCTGATCAGACCCCCGCCTCCTAACAGCAGGTCAGCTATGAGCCCTCATGATCCAGTCACCTTCCAAGGGCCCCATCTGTGAGGGACTGCATGAGGCTCTTGGGGAACATCCAGATGTACCCCATGAAAATGTGGTAATTCCTGAAAAGAATGAAAACGAGAGTTACTGTCAGGTCTAGTAATTCCACTGCTGGGTATATGCCCCAAAGAACGGGAAGCCAGGTCTCAAGGAGATACTTACACGCTCACGTGCACAGCACACACTCACAGCAGGTCGCAGCAACACACGCGTCGGTCAGCAGAGGGAAAGGGGCACAAAATGTGCTGTGTGCGTACAGCGGCTGCTCATCACCCACCCTCAAAAGTGAAGGGATTCCAACACATGCTCCAACGCGTGCTCGCCTAAGGGAAGGACAAACACTGCAAGAATTCATTATGCTAAGGACACAGAGTCACTCGATAGAGAGCAAGTAGGGTGGGGCTGGGGGGTGGTGTTTAATGGGTACGGAGGTTTGGCTGGAGAACATAAAGTTCTAGAAAATAACAGCAATGGGTGCGCTGAGATGGAAACGCACTTAATCCCACTGAACGGTACACTTAAAAGTAGCGTGGTAGACGGTACGTTATTTTTTATCACAATAAATAAATAAGCAAGCCATGCGATGTGGCACACGCCTGTAACCCTAGCACCCAAGGAGGCTGAGGATGAAGGATCTCAAGTCTAAGCCCCAGGCTGGGCAATTTAATGACTTAGCAAGCCCTTGTCTCAAAAAATAAAAAAGGGCTCAGGATACAGCTAGGTGGGAAGGCCCAGGGTTCGATCCTCGGTCCAACAAAGTAAAATAACACAGCAGGAAGTGACCTTAAAATGCACACGCGTTTGCCTTCTCTAGCGGAAGAGAGAATTTTCTGTTCGCGGCCAGTCAGCTAGCTCCTGAGGGAAGCTGCATGCGTGTGTGCGTGCTTTGCGTGCCTGCGTGCTTCGAGCGTGCGTGCCTGCGTGCTTCGTGCGTGCCTGCGTGCTTCGTGCGTGCCTGCGTGCTTCGTGCGTGCCTGCGTGCGTGCGCACGCGCATGCGCTGTAAATGACCAGCCCCACGCAGTCGTCGCTGCCCATGGCTGACAAAGAACCCCTGGCTCGCTTGCTGCTCCCCGACCACCTGGGAAGAAGAGCTGTGCAAAGGCCCAGGACAGGCCCAGAGGAGGCAGGGACGGGGAGTCGAACTGCAGAGCGCCCCCAGGAGGCCCTGAGCCACAGTGCCAGGCCAGGCCCGAGCGCCAGGCGGGGGCTCGCGTGCGGGGCGCTGTCAGGGGGAGGAGCTGCCCCGGGAAGACGCGGGGTCCCGAGAGTCTCCGTCCGGGCTGGCTGTTTCCCCTCATTTCCAAGCGAGCTACGCAGACCGAGAGCGGAGCTGTCTCTTGCCCGCTGGCACCTGAATTCCGGGATGTAAGCCGCCCCAGGTGTGGAGAAGGAGTTGGACGCTGGACGTCACGCTGCCTTTCCGAGCTGTCCACCTTGCCCCGCTTGTAGAATTGCCTCAGATGTGCTTTGATATTTGATCCGGAACAAAGTTGAAAGATGTGTGTTCATTACCTCAGATCATTAGGTCTGTAGCGGCCAACATCAAGGGTCCGCACCTCAGACACAATGAGAAGAGGACCCCCCCCACCCCCGTCACGCAGGAAAAGCAGGCTGTAGTTTTGCTTCAAGAAATACCCTTGAACTGCTGGGTATGGTGCCGCACACCTATAATCCCAGCTCTTCGGAGGCTGAGGCAAGAGGATTACTGTGAGTTCAAGGCCAACTTGGACTACGTAGCAAGACCCTGTACCCAAAAATCAAAACATACCCCAAAAGAGAAAGAAAGTAAGACTCCCAAACTAAATCTCCTTTCTCCATTCTCTCAAGCTTCCGCAGGTTCACCCGCTCCAACAGTGTGACGACAGCCGTCCAGGCTGACCTGGACTTCCATGATAACCTGGAAAATTCTCTGGAATCCATAGAGGACAATTCGTGTCCCGGCCCAATGGCCAGGCAGTTCTCCCGGGACGCAAGCACCTCCACGGTCAGCATCCAGGGCTCAGGCAACCACTACCACGCCTGTGCGGCTGATGACGACTTTGACGCGGATTTTGACCCGTCCATTCTGCCTCCTCCCGACCCCTGGATCGACTCGATCACGGAGGACCCGCTGGAGGCCGTGCAGCGGTCCGTGTGCCACCGGGATGGCCACTGGTTCTTGAAGCTACTGCAGGCGGAGCGCGACCGCATGGACGGCTGGTGCCAGCAGATGGAGCGGGAGGAGCGGGAGAACAACCTGCCGGAGGACAGTAAGTACCTGCGGCGCGACACCAGGTTGCCCTATGATGGCCGGAGCTGGGCAGCGCCAGCTGCCAACCCATCAGCTCCTGCGCTACCGGAGAGAAAGAACCCCAGGAGGATGGCACGTCCTATAGTTTAGATCTGTGGTTTCCTTTTCCTCCTCTGAGAAATGGCGAACTCAGGTGGTATCATTCCTCCCATCATCCCTTCCCTGAGATGATCTTGAGATATTGCTGGTTCTCAAATCATTCGAACTTTAGTAGTTTCAAGACCCATAGACACAGGAGCATTGGGCATTTATCATCTTTGCAGCTTTATAACCCACTGACAGACAACATAAAAACGAGGCTAGTGTGCAGATCAGTAGAAACCCATGTTTCCTGCATTTTTCAGCTTGCCTAGTGTGCACTTTCTTTTCAGGGTTAAGGAAGGCAAAATTTCAGCCCCTACGATAATTAACACAACCTGTAATCACAGCTACATAGGAGGCTGAGGCAGGAGGATCACAGGATTGAGCCTGGGCAGTTTATCAACTTAAGTCAGACTCTGTCTCAAAATAAAAACATTAAAAGAAAAAAAGGCTGGGGATGTAGCTCAGTGCAAAGACTCTAGTTTAAATCCTCAGCACCTACATTAATGATCTAATAGGTTAAAATAAATGAAAACAGAAAATACATAATTGATGCCATTTTTTTGCACACCATTATTTTCAAACTCTGCCTTTTAACAATTCTTGTTGTTAAAAAAGAAAGGTACAACAAATCTGGATTCACAGGTCTTAACGTGACCTGCAGTTGGACACTCCAGCAGCAGTGTAGACCAAACACAGTTCAAAACATGGTGCCCACTACGTGGACAGGTTATACTGAGAGTGGCCCCTTGGTGCCCCCAACTCCCCTCATTAATTGACTCTGGAAGGTGCAGTGAGGACCAAAATCCACCAGGACCAAGCAATTTATTTTGGCTGGAAGGGGTACCAAGTCACAAGGCAATCGATACCGACAGGTTGTGGCTTGTGTGTCAGATACTACACAGATGACAAATACTAAGACAAAAGTGTTGCATCAGTTTGTGTCCAGTACCAAACTGGACAAATTTCAAAGCCATTCCCAGTACCAAGATAAGTCCCTGTAGCCAGAGACAGGGAAGTGGTCCACAGCAATGGAAGTCAGATATGAAGACCAATCAGCTAAAGCTTGCAGCTCATTGATGGCTGTTTGTGAAAGAGTAGATTACAGTTGGTTTCGCACTAAGTTAGCTTGCAGTTCACCGTGTGTGAAGACACCTGTGGGCCAAACCTAATGTATGTACCGTGCCAGCTTTAGGCCAAACTTAATTTAACCTTATCAACAATTGACAAAAAAAATTACCAAATTACCTTAATTATGAGACATATTTTACACATTTCAAAAAATTTTGAAGTTGAGGTATAATTTGTAATCTGTGTATTTTAACATTGTATGTTTTATTTTCCCTGAAAAATTCTTAAATTAATGGTGGATTTTCCAACTGATAATATTTTTTTGTTTGTTTGTTTTTGTTTTTGTTTTTCTCTGGTACTGAGAATCGAACTCACAACCTTGCACTTGCCAGGCAAGCGCTGTGCCGCTGAGCTAAATCCCCAGCCCCTGATAATATTTTTTGACTCAAAAAGTTCGGTGGTGGTCATGAAGCCTACTTAATTTTTGGGAGGGAATTACCTTGAAGAGTATCATCACAATATAGTTTTTATTTATTTTTTGAGACAGGCTCTTTCTGTGTAGTCCAAGCTGACCTCAAACTCAAAGCAGTCCTCCTGCCTCTGCCTCCTGAATGCTGGGATTGTAGGCCTGGGCCATCATGCCTGGCTTTGTTTTTATTTTTGGTTTGCTTTTGTCTTTGGTTTTTGTTTTTTTGACACAAGTTCTCGCTATGTAGTCCATACTGGCCTTGAACTCACTATATTGCCCAGGCAACCCCTGAACTCAAGATCCTCCTGACTTAACCTTCTGAGTGCTAGGATGATGCAGTTTTTAAAATTTCTTTTAAAAATAACCATTTAACTTTTTAGTCACAAACATATAAAAATATGCATAAAAATAGAATTTAATATAATGAACTCTTCATGTGTTCATCACTTTATGCACTACTAGCCAGTCTTACTTTCTTCTTTTTTTTCTCTCTTCTTTTTTTTTTTTTTGCACTGGGAATTGAGCATAGGACCTTTGCACTGAGCTATACTGACAGCCCAAATGTGTGTATGTATGTATGTATTCAGTTATTTCAGAAAGGGTCTCACTAAACCACAAAGTTGCCCCCGTTGGGCTTGTACTTGTAATCCTTCTGCTGCAGTCTCCCAGAGCACTGGGATTACAGACATGTGTCACCGTACCCAGCTCAGTCTTATAGTCTTCTTTTTTGTTGTTTTGTTATTTTTGTCAGAGTACTTTAAAGGAAACCCAAGGTATCATGTCACTTTACTATATAGTCACACTTACAAGGACATTTATTAAACATAGCTGCACATAATATTCCTAATGAAAACGACAGTAATTTCCTTTCTTTTTGTGGGGGAGGAAGGACAAGATCTTGTTATGTTGTCAAGCTGACCTTAACTCCTGAGATCAAGTGGTCTTCCTGCCTCAGCCTCCCAGTAGCTGGGACTACTAGGACAGTCCACCACACATTGCCCACAATCATTTCTTGATAATTAGATCTGGCATCTGTTGTGAATCACGTTAGTGGCTTCTTACCGAACTCCTGCCAGGAGATCTTGTCTCTGTAGTTCGCACAAAAGGTTATGTAGGGCACAGTGAGAAAAGGAAGCAATCTACTCCTGTCTGCCCCTTGCTCAGTACCACGATGGGCTCTCCCGAGCCTTGTCTGCGGGCAGGCTTCGTCTTTGCCCTGGTGCTGCTCAGCAAAGCACCAGCACAGCAGTGGGTGGTGTGGCCAGGCTTCAGGAAGTCTCTACCATGCCTCACTGTAGTGTCTCCTCCCCAGGGGGACATCTCCACAGTGATTAGATTTTCCCGGAGGACGCCAGTGTCTCTGGAGCAATGGCAGCTAGGGCTGTGGCCCAACAGAACCAGCTGTCATGCAGATTTTGAGACAGGGTCTCACTATGTAGTTCAAGCTGGCCTTGAACTCAGCAATCCTCCTGCCTCAGCCTCCCGAGTGCTGGAATGACAGGTATATGCCACCATGCCGGGCTGTCTGTTTTTCATACTCTGAGAGGCACAGACCAAACTGCCAGGAATCCAAAGCCCCAAAACTGGCGCAGCAAACTCAGGGCAGAAAGTTGTGGATTTCCAGCAGGTGAGTCCCAGCCAGCGGGCGGATCTGAGCCTCGCAGCGAGGAGGGACTGGCACAGGGGACACACTGGGACGTGGCCTCGTCCTCACGGCGCTGGCTGCGGGCTGGGGACTGACAGGTGCTGCTTCACTTGCCCTCAGGGCAGCTCTGGCGGCGCCCTGTCCGGGGTCACGGAACGCGTCAGTGTGTGACAGTGCAGATACACGCGGACGACAGCTGACAAGAGCATGTCACTGCGTGTCAGCCGGCACCACGCCCCGCCCGAGCACAGGCTGCGCCCCGCGGCACCACCGGTCTGCTCTGGCCGCCGGAGCCGCTGAGTGCTGTTTGACCAGTTCTCCCACTGAACCTTGTCTTTCTTTTTTATCAGAGCAGTGGCGGGGAGGAGAGGCCAGTTCGGTGGGCAGAACCAGGTCCCAAGCGACTGGGTTTTGTTCGTTTGTTTTTAATCTGCATACACCAGGAAAACCCACTTCGGCAAATAAGTCAAACACAGTTACAGCCATCTTTTAGCCAGATGCTGAGCACATTTTTTGCTTCCTACACGAGGAAGCCCCTCTTACTCCTATAACTTTGTATGGATTTTTTTTTTTTTTTTTTGAGATATGGTCTCAATATGTAGAATGGGTTGGTCTTGAACTCACTATGTAGCCCAGGCTGGCCTCTAGCTGGCAGCAATCCTCCTGCCTCAGCCTCCCAAGTGCTGGGATTATAGGTATGTGCCACCACACCTGGATGTAGTAAATTGTCAGTGTTCTTCTTCCTGAAGAAAGAAAAGTGGCTTCTTAAGGAAATCCTCCCACGAGATCTTGTCTTTGTAGTCTCCACAAAAGGATATGTAGGACAGGGTGAGAAAAAGAAATATTCTAATCATACCTGCTTAATTTATTTCCTAGGGCACCAGAATTACCTCGCTCTTTAAATATTTGAAAAGTCTGGCGAATATACGCAGTGCTTCTCACTGTGCATTAAAACTAGCAGTTGAGCTGCCAGGCACAGTGCTACGCACTTGTAACGCCAGCACTCCAGGAGGCTGAGGCAGGAGAACGGCAAGTTCAAGCCCAGCCTGGGCAATGTAACAACTTAACAAGACCCTGTACTAAAATAAAAAATAAAAAGGGCTTGGGGATATAGCTCAGTGCTTGGGCCCTAGGTCCAATCCCCAGTACCACAGACAACAACAATGAAAGTAATTGTCTGCAGTCCCTGACACTACCTGTTCATAAAGTGTAAGATACAGCACTCTGGGAGGCTGAAGCAACAGCACTGTAAGTTCGATCCCAGCCTGGGCAAATTAGCGTTTTAGTGCGACCCTGCCTCAAAACCAAAGATGAAAAGGGCTGAGGATATAGCTCAGTGCACAGGCCCTGGGCTCAATCCTCTATACCAAAAAAAAAGATATTTTATGATACATCTTCCTTAATTCAAAATACAGTATGTCCAAAAAATAGTTTGGTAAGGAGCTCATTTGTTCATGACAACTTGAAGTGCGAACCCTGGGTGTGAAGAAGCTCTAATCATCTTTATTAGATGCTTGCAGAAGAAAAGATCAGCATCATGTTAAAATCACAACTGTGTCACACACTGCTCTGCCGGCACCTTAGGGAGAGAGTTCGGGTCGTCCGGGCTGGAACCCTCCCTCGCTAACCCTGCTACCAAAGGCGGCCAGTTCTGTCCCAAAGTCAAGCCGAGAATTCTTCTTTTTCCTGATAAAAGCAGAGCAGAACAAAGCCTCTAGTTCTCGTCTGCATCCTCCTCGCCGCACCCCCATGATAGTGGGGTTTGGCTGACACCCCAGGAGCACTGGTCTGCGGCCAGCGGGGCTTCCTCGCCGCAGCTGCTGACAGGCAGCTTTGCCCAGCCCTGCTAGTAAAGTGACACCAGCCCTCCTCAGACAATGGTGCCCTTGTGTGAAACAGCTGTCTGGGAGGTGCCGCGCGGGCACGGTGGCGTGTATGTTGCATAGACGCGGCTGGTGTTATCTCGCCGGAATGAAGCAGACAGATGGGACCAAGCTTCCAGCTAGGAATGCGCTGTGAGCTCCAGGGACAGGGCTCAGGTTTCAGCGGCCCGGGAGGAAGTGCCGCCTGACTTCTGCCTCTGCCTCTGCCTCTGCCTCCTGAACTGGGACAGTTTATACGAGGGGTAATCAAAAACTATGAGGAAGGTTTAAATTTTATAAAAGTGTATTACAATAGGTGACACATTGCCATGGAGTCCCCTCAACATTCTTCCTCTCCCTTTGTACACCCTGATCCTGTCGGTCTTGCCACTATCTGAACTCCAGTTCTGGGAGTCCTCTTTCCTGAGTGTCTCTTCCAGGAGTGATCAAAAATATGGTGAATGCTACTTCCAAGGACCACCCAATAGAAAGGCAGTGTCCTAAAAACATGACACTGCATCCTCATTCACCTTCATCACCAGAGCACAGTGACCCTGAAAGGGAAAGTTCAGAACATCAAGGCAGCCAGGACAGCACAACTACAGACACTCACGAAAGAGGACTCCAGAGCTCCTTCGGGAAGTGGCAAGAATGATGGGATGAGTGTGTTCAAAGTGAGAAGGTATATTTTGGGGCGATTGGTATAGCAAGGTGTCTTTTACTGTGATGCATTTTTTGATGACAGAAGATTTATTTTAACTTTATTTAAGAAGTAATACCCTGTTTAAAATTTGAAGACATAGTATTTTCTGAGCGTGCTTCACACATAGAATTTGCAGGCTTTATGTGCAACTAGCTGACGACCCCAGAGTGTGTGCGGGAGGCTGGTGGCTCTGCCTGAGCCTCGCCCAGAGCAGCACACAGGGTGGTGCAACACGTCCTTCAACCCGGGAGGCTTGGAGCCTCAGTGGGCTCCGGGGCTCGCCCGCTCCAGCTGTGGCTGCGGGAGCAGTGTGCGGTCACATCCTTGACGGGTCACCATCCGAGCAGTCAGCAGCCACATCTGCCTGGGGCCACAAGGTCTTGGTGGCCCCTGAAGTCTTGGACCATGACAAAACAGTGCTGTCATCAGGTACTGCTGAGCCGGGAGCCAGACGGTGTATCTGAGCTGCTTTGGTTTTATTTTCATCTTACTTTGAAAGTGAACCTTTAGAAGGTCTCTCCCCACCCCCACCCACACGCACGCACACGCACACGCACACATACTACATGGCCTCTTCTGTGAGTCCTGGCCAGCCTGAAATTAGTGACCACAGAGGAAGTGGCTGCCAACGAGAGGAAACGGTGCGATGTGCCTGCAGTTACCTCCAAGACTACACTGGTCTGAGCTCGCAGTGCCCTGGGCCGAGGACAGTCTTGGGGCGGTGTGTGGCGCAGGAAGCGGGGGTGACCTGGACACTGAGCTGTCCCTCCCCAGTAGGCGTCTGTTATCCCAGAAATTGCGGAGAGGCACTGACTCATGGAGCAAGACCTCTGATTATTTTCTCCAAATTATTTTCTCTGTTTCTCTGCCTATAAATGCCACAGACTCCAAACACAGTGTACAGTTCTTTTATAGGACCGAGGCAGATGGTGTGGATACAGAAGGAAAAACAACTTCAAGTCAGTTCCTCTAACCGTGCACTCACAAGCACAGTCCTAACACAGATGGGTCCCGCAAAGGCAAGGAATCGGCTGATTACACGCTGGACACCAGCGGCCGTCCTCTGAATTCAACTCGGTCTGCACAGCATCTCTCTGCCTGGATGTAGCATCCACTCCTGCAAGTCGAGGTGCAGTCCCAAAGCCTACACCCAGGACACACACACACACACAGCAGGTATTCATCACACCCCCAGTGGTTTCACCTGTGCCTCTGGAAACCAGCTGTACACTGGGACTCCCACACCCCCTCTTCGGGTCCGATTTCCTCGAGAGACTTGCAGCAGGGAGGTTACCAGCTGACAAAGGATGCTAGAAAGGAAGCAGATGGAGAAACACACAGGCCAGTAGATGGGGGTGGAGCGTGGGGCCCGATTCCCTCCAGTGACCACTCTCTGGGGACCTCCCCGTAGACAGCTCTCCCGAAGCCCTCAAACCCTGTCCTGGCTCTCCATGGAGGCTTCATGCAGCGGCACGGTCAAAGCCCATGTAGACGCCCCGAGAGGGCCCCCAGGTGTGAGCAGTGGGGGGGCTGTGTGGGAAACCCCGCAAGGCCTATCCATCCAAAGTCCAACCCGCTCCCCCTACCTGTGCAGCAAGCCTCCTTCTGCAGTGGGGGTCTTATCAGCCTCTGTCACAGGAGCAGGTCTGAAGGGCCGGCCTGCTTTATGGCCAAGCCACAGTGGGGAGGGTCAGAGCTTCCGGAAGCTGCCTTGGGGAGACAAATTTTGGTTCACAACCTGCTTAGGGGAAGGGAATTAGGAGCCGGGGCCGAGGGACACAACCACGTGTGTATATGTCACAGGGTCGCACAAATACAAATTAGTTCCATTTCAGTCAACTTTCAAAAGCTGAAAATGGTCTTTATGCACCTAGATAGTATGTGGGGTGCTAGTTTCATGGCTGATGTAAACTGAGAGATACGAACCCAGAACATAAACAGCTTTTACAAGCGAGACTCTGGAAAGGTCTGGATTTAAAAAAAGAAGATGAAATTAGCTGAGTTGTTTTTTGTTTTTCAAATTTGCTCTTTTTTTAAAAAGTTAATTGAGACAGGATCACGCTATATTGCCAAGGCTGGTCTCCGTCCCCGCTGCTCAAGCGACTGCTCCTGCCTCAGCCTTCCAAGTAGCTGGCACCCAGGCACACAGCACTGCCCAGCACAAACCTACTCTTTATAAGCAAAATGATGTTTTCTTTCCAGAGCCGTGTGGAAGCTCTGGCTTTAGTGCATGTGAAATTCTCTAACTGAAAATTCTGATCTTTATTGTTAGCCACCAAGTTTGGGTTTCTATAAAAAAGAGGCACTCGTGTGAAGTCCGTGTGGGTCAGGAATAAGACAAACCTGTGTGTGCCACGGAGACACCTTGGCGACATCACCGGGGGTCACCGATGGGTGTGAGGATCACATGGTGGGCCCCGAGGTGGGAAAGGACGCAGGGTTACACACGCAGTTTGCACATGGACGTGCCCGGCCTTGACAGCAGACAGATTTGCACTCACGAATCCACAAGGCCTGAGAGTGCACCTCAGGTGGACTGCTTCTCCCCATCCCTCTCTCTCCCCGCCGCACCGTCTCCAACACACAAGTCAGGCGGTCATGCAGACCGCACTTCGAGTCCTGCTGGCTTTGCCTGGCCCTGGTTTGAGGGCAGCGAGCACTCGCTGGGAACTGCACCTGTGGTGGTGCGTTTTTCCCAAGCTGCGTAATCCGGGAGCTCTTGGCCCAACACAGAAATGGGGCTGGGACGCAAGGCTAGGGCAGGGCCTGCTGTGCCTGGCAGTGCGAGGTGGTGAGGGGGAGAGTTGGCTGAGCCTTGCAGGCCCGCATGTGATAAACTGGGTGCCTGCAGTGGAGAGGTGGCGGGAAGCCACACGAGTGCCACCCAGAAGCACGAGGGTGAGAGTATGCTGCAGCCCCGAGCATGTGCTCGCAAGCGGGTGAAACTAGGAGATGGAGGTGCAGAGCCACAGGGACTGTTCAAATACAAGTAAAGTTACTACAGGGAAACGCACAGGGCCGTGGATCCCCCTCAAGCCCTCCGCCTCACTGCCAAGGCGCTCATCTCATCGTTCTTGCCTCTTTCGGGAACAGCTCGGGAAGGCCTCTTTCACCAGTGTCTCTTTGTGACTGCCTCAGTGTCCCGCATGGACTTAAACGTTTATGGCAGTTTCTGTTTAATAAACATGTAATGGTGCGTCCTCAGCCACTTCATTTACCGGGCCTGGCACTGTAAGGCCTCTGGTTCTTTTCCGAAGTCAAAATGACCGTGAAAGGGAAACAGTCGGAAGGGATTCAGGACGTTGAGGCCGCCGCTGTAGCACACCTGAAGACACTGAGGACAGAGGACTGCAGAGCCGCTGCAGAGAGTGGCCAGGACAGTGGGACGAGTGTGTTGGAAGAGGGGGGTATTCTGAGAGGCGTTCATGGCAGAGTGTCCATTACTATAATAGAGCTTTTAAAAATATGAACACTCCCCACATGCCTTGACCGCAGCACACACAGAGGGAGCCAGTGTGCTGTGGGGCCACAGCCAGTGGTGCCTGATTCAGAGTCCGGGGGAGAAGGTGGGCGGGAGCCCCGCTGCAGGCAGTGGGGTCAGATGCGAGCTGGGGAAACGCAGCAGATGTCACCCTGTGGAGAGTCAGGGTTGCAGGGACTGCGGGAGTCGCCCAGGCCAGCCACAGCAGAGTGCCCTGCACCAGCGGCTCAGACAGCACAAATGGATTTCTCAGCGTCCAAAGCTGCAAGCCCAAGATCAAGGAGGCAGTTTCTTCTGCCTCTGCCCTTGGCTTGCAGATGGCCGTCTTCTCCTGCTGGCTTCACGTGGTCCCCTCTGGGTGCCTGGGTCCTGATCGCCTCTGGCTGCGGGGACACCGGACCCACCGGACCAGGGCCCAAGCTAATGGCTGCGTGTTACCCTTGGTACCTCTCTGAGGAGCCCACCTCCCAGCATCACAGCCAGAGGTCCTGGGTTAGATGGAGGCGGTGACCTCAGGGAGGACACAGTTCAGCCCATAACGGGAGGAAAGAGTCCTGTGAGCTGGAGGGGCCCCCGAGGACGGGAGGACTTACCCCCTTAGACAGGGAGGACCGGAGGTGCTGCTAGGCAGCCTGGATGAGGTGTAACAGACGCAGAGGTTTTGGAAAGAGAGAGAACCTCATTCGGAGCATTGCAGGAGAAACAGGACAGGAACACAGGCGGATGCAGAAATGGATGGGACCGCCTCACTCCTATAATCCCAGCACTCTGGGAGGCTGAAGCAGGAAGATCACAAGTTTGGAGGATTTGGAGGGCTGGGCATGGGGCAAGTACCAGAAGCAGACAGGACACTGAGTATCTGTGCAGGGTGCCTCTCTCTCATCATCCAGTAAGGGAAGGTTAGTGCCAGCCCTGTGGGAGCAGGTGCTGAGTCAGGAACGAGCACAGACCCTTAGGGCTGCAGTCACAGCTCCGACGTGGAGGCCCCCAAAGCTTGTGAGTACATAGGCGGGCTTGCGGGAGGTGACTGGATCACTTGCTGTTAGGAGTGGGGTCTGGCCAGCAGAGGGGCGAGGGCGTGGCCTGGAAGGGCTCGTCTCCCTCCTTTCCTCCATGAACTCCCTGCTTGCCTATGGCTGTGTTGTGAGCAGCTCTTCTCCCCGGTTGCTTCCTGCCATGCTGTCCTGCCTTAGAGCCAGCCAATCCTGGCCTGAAATGTGAGCCAAAATAAACGTCTCCTCCTTTAAGTTGTGGCGGGTGTTAGGTACTGTGTCTTAGTCACTGTGTCTCAGCAACAAGAAAGTGACAAAAGAGGTTTTTGGTGCCAAGAGTGGAGTTGTTGCTATGACTGTACCTGGTCATGTGGTTCAGAAGCCTTTGGAACTGGTTTGCAGAAGGAATCTGGCAAGATTAGGAGGTGCTGGCTGGAGAAGCAGCACCAGCATGCTGTAAACCAAGGTTGATGGGCGAATCTGCTCAGAGCTGAGAAGACCAGAATGCTGAGAGAAATGCGGATGGTAAAGGCCAGGCTCAGGAGGTTTCAGCTGGGAACAAGGATTCCACTGGCAGTTGGACCCCAGGCCATGTGTGTTATCCTCTGGCAAAAAAGTTTGTCTATATTTTGCTCCTGTCATGAGATTTTGCAGGAGACTGGCATTAAGGGTGACAGACTTAATTAATCTGGTATCAGCCCAACATTCAGGCTGTGGTGTGGGTACTGTTGGGCTTTTAGCCAGCTGTACACTGAAAATCAAGAGCAGATGGCATGACTGAGTGATTTCAAAAGTTTTGAGCTGTACCAGAAAGGAGGCCCCTGTAAAGTTGGGGCTCATAAGGATGCAGCAGAGCAGAGCTTGGCTGCTGAAAAACTTAGCATTAAAAAGAAGCCAAGTACTTCAGTCAGGACCATAGAAAACAGTGGCTTAAGGGATCAGAAACCAACAAAGCCCCACCCTGCATGGGCTCAGAATTGCAAAAGTGAAAGACTTTGCTTTCAGAAAAGAGCCCCAGACCCCCCCTTCCGGAGAAAGGCTGCCCGGAATTTATTCTTGGGATTAGGCTGAGGGCTGGGCTCAGCCTCTCCGCCTTTACACTGCAGATGTCAGGTGTGATGGCCCAAAGAGAAAGTGAGGCCGACAGCTCTTTCCAGCCTGTCCTCTGAGCTGGCTGTGACAGCAGCATGGGGTGTGGCATCTAACGCTCGCTGAGGTCCCTGCCTTCCACGTGTCTGTCTCCCAGTGGCGGGAGAGCACTGTTAACTCTGACGCGCAGGGGAAATCGTGTCAGACTACACAGAGACTAAAACTGGGCCCCCGAATGTTTGTCAGGTTCCTTGTGTATCCAGACAAAAAGCACAGTCACCTGCCCAGTGAGGCTGGTGAAAATCTGCCTGCACGTTCCTTTAGCAAGCGGTCCGCAGCCCAGTGGGATGCAGTGGGACTGTTTGACAGGGCGCTGAGCCTGGGATAAACTCTCCCAGGGTCAACAGTGGTGAGCAGGAAGCTGCTACCACCTGTGTGTCACGAAAGAGCCACACTGGAAAGAAACTGGCCTGGTGACTCACAGGGGGCGTGGCAAGGACACTTGGCCTCTGTCGCTGCGGTCAGCCGGCCAGTGGATTCCTGTGTAGTGACCGGCAGTATCAGGTTCTGGGAAGCCACCAGAATCCTGAGGACTTCACAGGGAGGCCTGGTGACCACCGGGTGGGGCGAAATAAAGATGAGTTGGAAGCAGCCAGGGAAACCAACACTCCTGCTTCTTCAGGCCTAGAGCCCTAGTTCTCCAGGAAGGTGGAAAGAGACACGTAACTGCACTTACCGATCTGAAATCCTTGTTTCTTTTCCTCTGATGCTGGGGGTGGAACCCAGCCAGGGCTCTGCCACTGTGCCCGACCCCCAGCCCTGAGATCTGATTTAGACGCAGCAGAAAGACAGGCCTGGCCCCAAAGAAGCTGGGCCTGCTCTACCTTGCTGACACCAGGACCCTGAAACTCCTTGAAACTGCCGTAGTCACCTGCAAGGTAACGAGAAGTTACCTGTCTGCCCACCCATGCCCTTTACAAAGTGTGTTTGGTTTTGTTTCTTGTTTTTGAGACAGGGTCTCAGTATACAGTGCAGGCTGGCCTTGCACTTGCTGGGATCGAGGGTGCACCACCATGCCTGGCTACTGAGATGTGATTAAGAAATACAGTGAATGGTTTGTTTTCAAATTCTATCATATTAAAAGACATTGCCTTTAATTTTCCTCAAATCCTCCCCCTCACTTCGTTCTTTTGTTGTTGTTTTGTCTTTTTGAGACAGGGTGTCACTGTGTAGTTCAGGCTGGCTTTGAGCTCCCTTTGTGGTCCAGGCTGGTCTCGAGCTTGCAGCAATCCTCCTGCCTCAGCCTCCCGAGTGCTGGGATTACAGGCGTGCGCCATCACACCCAGCCTCGTCCCCTTACTTTGTACACACTCATTGCATCACTCCTGCCACTTTCTGGAGCAGCTCTGGAGTTCTTTTTCATGAGTGTCTTTAGTTCTGCTGTCCTGGCTGCTACAGTGTCCTGAATTGATCCGAAACATTTCCCTTTCATGGTCATTTTGACTTTGGGGAACAGCCAGGAGTCACGCAGTGCCGCATCCAGTGAGTAAGGTAGATGAGGACACTGTCGTGTTTTTATCTGACAGAAATTGCTGTAAATGTTGATCAGTGAGGTGCGATCACATAATGTGGTGAATGTGGTTACATACAAAACGCATCAAGAAGAGACACACTGCCGCTCATCCCTCCCGGAGTACTCACAGTACCCCCTTGCTTTGAACACACTCTTCCCACTGTCCTTGGCAATGTGTCTTTGCCACAATAATTTCTTATTTAATTTAAATATTTACTGTATCTTTCTACCACCCCTTGTGTACCTTCTCCTCATTCCCAAAATAAAGCCCATAGCCCACTGGGTCCATGAAGACGTACTATTCCCTTAATGTTTGAGTCTTTGACTGAATATAGCCAGGCAATTTCACATCATGTTTTGCATGAATAACCTTCTTCCCCACAAAATAGTCTTTCTTTGCTTCTTACTATGATGTATAACCATTTTTTTTTTCTTTTTGAGATAAGGTCTCGCTAGGCAGTTCAGGCTGGCCTTGAGCTCACTTTGTAGCCCAGGCTGATCTTGAACTTGTAATGATCCTCCTGCCTCAGCCTCCCAAGTGCTGGGATTACAGGCATGAACCACCATGCCTGGCTTGATATATAATAATTATTATCACTACTATCTTGGTTTTTGAGGCAGAGTCTCTCTGTGTAACCCAGGCTGGCCTCAAATTCATGACAGTCCTGCCTCAGCCTCCGGAGAGCTGGGATTAGAGGGTGGGCCACTGTGCTTACAATGTATAATCTTTACAAGAAAACTCTGAACTTGCAGTTGATACCGGTCATCCTCCCTGGCAGTGCTGGTTCCTCCATTCTTTTTACGACTGAAGTCTCCTCATATGCAGTGGGTATTTTGCTGTCCCTTCTTCTGTGCAAAATGGGTTTTTATTTTTTAAATTTTATTTATTTATTTATTTGGTGCTGCTAGGAATTGAACCCAGGGCCTTGTGCATGCAGAGCAAGAGCTCTGCCACTGAGCCACATCCCCAGCCCAATGCCGTCCGTTCTTACATCTGGCCGTGGCGGGGTCTGTGTGTGCTCCTCTCTGCCCCATCCGCTGGCACTGCTGGAAAGTGCTGATAAAGGACAGAAACCACACTCCACGGGTAGAGAGGATAGAGTATTACTCAGCTTTAGAAAAGAAAGAGCTCGTATGTGACGACGTGGGTGAACCCGGGGAACATTATATTAAGTAAAATAAGCCGGCTGCAGACAGATGCCATGAGTCTGTTTATGTGAGGTACTTAAGCCAGGAGTCAGAGCCACTTGTGGTAGCATGTGCCTGAGTCGCAGCCAGTCAGGTGGCTGAGGCAGGAGGGTGGTTCAAGTCCAGGAATTTGAGACCAGCCTAAGCAACACAGTGAGATTCTGTCTTCAAAAGAAAAAAGAAGACATAAAATAGGCAAAGGCACAGAGTGAGTCAGGGGGGAAAGGCAGTGTCAGGGGCCAGAGGGAAAAATGAGGAGTTGCCAATCAAGGGTATGAAGCTTCTGTCAAGCACAGTGAATCTAGGGACCTGCGGGACATCACTGTTAGCAAGAGTTGCATCGTATCACTTAAAGAGCTGTGCCGTGTGCTTCCCCTAGCAGAGACAGGGAGGAGGGAAGGAGGGAAGAAGGGAAGGAGGGAAGGAGGGGAAGGAGGAGGAAGTAACATTTAAATGCCTTCTACCTAAGTAGATTTAGGCCCAATTTTGTGTAAATATTGACAGAAAACATTTCAGCACAGGGGATTGAGGAGGCCGGAATCTGCCACCACCGGTCCCGACACTACAGGATACTGAAGCAGGAGGATCACTAGTTCGAGCCCAGCCTGGGCAATTTAGCAAGATCTTATCTCAAGATTAGAAATAAAAGCTGGGCATGGTGGTACACACCTGTTATCCCAGCACTTGGGAGGCTGAGGCAGGAGGATTGTCATGAAACAAATGCCACCCTGAGCTACATAATGAGTTTGAGGCCAGCCTAAACTACTGAGTAAAACCTTGTCTTGAAAAAACAAAAAGAAGGAAAGAGACAGAAAGAAAAGAAAAGAGAAAGTAAGAAAAAAGGAAGACAGAAAGAAAAAGATGTGGCTAGGGATGTAGCTCAGTTTGAGGCCCTGGATTCAGTACCTGATACCACCAATAACAACAACAATAATACGCTTGGAAAGCTGCGGACCAGGCAGGCGTCTTCAGGACTTGCAGACGCCGGGCCTGGAGGAGCCCACGGGGATGCCTGGACGCCGTGTGTGCACTGTCTCTCCTCTCCTTCCTCACCCAGCAGCCAAAAGCCATTTCCCTTCCCACCATCTGTAGGTGGGTATTGGACATTTTAAAGTAGCTTCAAAGCCAGGCCAGCACTCAGGAGGCTGAGGCAGGAAAATCCCTGTGAGTACAAGGCCAGCCTGAACTACACAGAGACCCTTCCCTCTCCCACCCACCAAAAGAATACATAGAAAACAATATCCGTGTGCTTCTTTCTTCTCTTTCTCCTTTCTTTACCAACTTCTGGCCTTTTTCTTTCTACCTTCGGTCTCCTCGGGCTTTCCCATTTATTTTGTATTGTTTTTCTTCCTCAAGGCATACGGAGCAAACATAAAATTTACTTTCAGAAGGGATCGTACCACGCCCGAGTGAGTGTCGAGAAACAAATGAACAAACAAAAAGCCAGGAAAACACCACTGGAGAGTTTGTTTTTGTTTTGTTTTCCTTTGGGTTTTTGTGAGACAAGGTCCGTGTAGCGCAGGCTGGCCTCACGCCCGTGGGGCCCTCCTGCCCCGCCTCCAAGCTGCTTGGATTCCAGCCCGCGCCACCGCGCTCGGCGGCTTGCTGTCTGAGGTGTTTCGTATTCCTGGAGGACAGGGGGATGCGGGCTGTCCTCTCCCCGTGAAAGCCGTCCCGCGCGTGGCTTCACTCAAGCCCAGGTCATGTCTGACCCCAGGCCTAGGAAGGGTCGCTGCGCAGACCCTGGGCAGTGCAACGTCCGACAGCCTGCGGGAACGCCCACCCAGGAGCGCGGGCCGGCGCCCGGGACCGGGAGGCTGCACGAGCGCCCAGAGGCGGTCGCTGGGGCCTCGTTCTGTGATCTGTTACGTCCTTACCCTGCCTCAGAGTGGTCGCCTTGAACCCCAGGTTGGCCTGAAACCGCGTGTTCGCTTAGGACGCGCCGCTCCGACTATGTCCCAGCGTGGGCCCCGGGCCGCCGGGATGCCGGACCATTGTGACGCAGTGCAGACTCCTCCCCGCCCCTCCCTTCTCCCACCCCCCCCACCCCCGCCCACGTGAGGGCAGCTGCGGGGCTGGCAGCCGTGCAGGAAGGGCAGTGCGCTGGTCCTCGACACCTGAACTACACCATCCTAGGCCGTTCAGATACGGGGCACTTCCGGCCTCGTCAGCACCCACAGACAGGCAGCGCCAGCCCTCAGTTCACACAGCAGAGAGCAGGGGGGGGCCTCCCGAGACAGGGGCTGGTACGTGCTGGAACCAAGGGCCTGAGCTCCGTGTGTGTGCACGTGTGTGCATGCACATGCTCCTGGGGGTTGAACCCCCCACCTTCGCACTGAGCTACATCCCCAATCTTTTTATTTTGAGACAGGGTCTTGCTAAATCAATAAACTGCCCAATAAAGGGCCCAAACTTGGAACCCTCCTGCCTCAGCCTCTCAGACTTCAGTCCAGGTGGGCACCACCACTCCTGGGACACCCTGTGTCTCTATAAGCTGTGCTTTTTCCTTTGGGGATGTTGAGGAAAGGAGAGTGAACTCATACAACTAACTTTTCAGATAAAGGGAAAGGGATAAGCTTCCCAAAGATTTAAAATCAGGCTGGAAAGAAAATCAGCAGATTTAAGCCAAAAGAATCATTGCCAGATGGGCTACCAGGATAGGAGCGAGGAGGCAAGTGTCGGTGCCTGAGCTGCTCAGTGGGACCCATGACACAGGGAAGAGTGTGTAAAATGGGTGTAGTGGCGCATTCCTGTTACCTCAGCACTGGGCGGGCTGAGGCAGGAGGATCACCAGAAGTTTGAGGCAAGCCTGGGCTACATAGTGAGATTCTATCTCAAAAGAACAAAAAAACGAGCAAAAAGGACAGGCTGTTTGGATGCTGTGCGCTGCCTAGCTGGAGACCAGAGGTATTCTCGAATGCCTGGGCATGATGCCCGTTACCGCCCCTACCCAGCCTGCCAGCTCTAAGCACAGCAGAGCAAAGTACTAGCAAGGCCTGGGAAGCGAAGCTCCCTTTTCCTCCGTTTTCCCCTCACACTTGCAGGGAGCATGGCTGAGGAAAGGAGGCCTAGTTCCACTCAGATTGTAAACTGAGAACAGCCCAGCCCAGACCCTCGGCGCACCGCTCTCCCGGGAGGTCTTCACCTGGTTGTCCTCCGGTTCTGCCTGGGCGTCTCCCCTACGCCTTCCCTCGCGCCTGCCTGGGTCGCTGTGCCTCGTCACCCGGTGCAGGAAGTCCGGGGACGGCAGGCCTGGGGGCGCAGTGAGCAGTGCTCCACGCGTCCCAGCTGGTCCCAGCACGCAGCCCCTCACAGTCACCCCCTAGAAAGCCGAGGCTGGCCCAGGCCTCTCCTGCCTCTGGGCGCCAGTGGTGGAGCTCTGGCCCGCTTCTGGCGGGTGTGGACAGGCCTGGTGAGTGCGAGGGTCCCCCTCCACAGCAAGCAGGCACAGTACAGGTATCCCCCACAGGCCCCCAACTGAACGCTGAACCCCTGCGGAAATCAGCCCTGGGGAAGGGGGCTTGAAAAGAGTGCTTCTCTTGGTAGCGTCCGGGCTGGGATGGAAAACTCCAGGGTTCCGAGGACCAAGTGGCTCGGCGTGTGTTTTTCCAGGCTGCCTGGGTTTCCCAGCCGCAGGAGCAGCGGCGGCTCGCGCTGCAGGGTGGTGGTGAAGGGCATGCGTCCCTGCCTGTGACAGCATGGCTTTCTCCCTCGCTCCCGCCTCGTGTGTAAACTCCTCATATGTTTGCTTTTTCAGTTCTAGGGAAAATCCGAACCGCGGTGGGCAGTGCCCAACTTCTCATGGCCCAGAAATTCTACCAGTTCAGAGAACTGTGTGAAGAAAACCTGGTAGGTAACCTTCCCGGTCACCCCACTGCTCTCTCCTACAGGGCCTCAAAAAGAATGTGGCCGCCGGACTGACCCAGATGACGTCAGACTGGTCCTGAACCTCGTTCAAGTCCGGCCCAAGCCTCACCTGGCTGGACAGGTTATCTGATGAGTCTGGTTCCCACTTATCTTCAAATTTAAAATATTTACCTCATATAATCTTAGGAAGAAAAAAACTCTGCTTCCTGCGGTTTTGTAACTGAAAATTTTCCATTTTTCTGGCTTTCTCATGAGAGCTCTGATTTTATTATTCTTAACCAAAATAAAAAGCAGCCTGACATTTCAGAAATCATATGACAAAGCAAATCATTTTGGATGGTGATTCTCTTTCTAAAGTAGCTGTCAGTTTCTATTTTCTAATCAGGTATTTGCTTTAATTCCCAGGACCAAAGAGCAAGGGTATCACAACGCATAGATTTGATCTCCCTGAGAGCAATGAGTACTGCGTCCTTCATGGACATTCAAAAATAAAGTAAAGCAAAATAAAGAAAAGCTTCACTACCAACAATAGCATTTCCAAAGCTGATTCCAAAATCAAAGGGCAAGTGCTTCCTTGACTGAACTTATAAAATAAAAGTTGCTCCTGCCTCTGCAAGTATAAACCCACAAGAATAGCTTGTGTGGCTTAAGTACTGGTCAAGATGTAAAATGAAGAAAATGGAAAGCAATTTATGTATGTATAGCAAATGCAAATGTGATTATCTGCAGTCTCGGTGAGGTAGAATATGACTTTAGAATCTATATCACAGACACTTTCTTCTCTCCCCACAAGAAAGTCTGTTTGCAAGGACGGATTAGAAACCATTTATCTAGATAGAGGACAGAGAAAAAATAAAGTATGCAAAAGTTGCTACCTCCATTCCTCTCATTCAGGCTTCTTTTTAGAATGTTACACACACACACACACACACACACACACACACACACACACACTCCTATAGTAAACGTGTTGGTAAGTGAATTCAGTCCAACACATAGTTTGTTGAGCTTTTGCTGTGTGTCAGGGGTAGAAATCCTGCTACTCTGCAAAGTGTGAAGGTGTCACAGGTCCTAGTTAACATGCCTTTCATGCAAGAAAGTTCATCCTAAAGCCTGTCGCTGTCGCTCGAAGCAGCCGATAGGTGCGTGAGGAAGTTACCAGCAGCGATCACAGAGAATGTCCTTGTTGAAGGAACTGCTTGACGTTTGGGCCAGTTTATTACAAATTAGAAAGTAAATGTTGTGCAGATTTTAAAGATGAAATTGCAGACCACATTTTTTGGAACACTTTGCTGGTTTCTAGGAAATAGTAACCTAGTGACAGCCAGCTTTTGCTGGTTCCTAGTTCCCATCCACTCATATGTTGGCTCGCTGGAGACACAGAAGGAACCAGATTCCTTGGCCGCTAGAGAAGCTCAGGTGCTAAACCGTGCGAGTCGCTGTCCGAGGCAGACTGCTGTGTCACGGCGGCCCTGTGAGCACAGCTGTGACCCAGAGAGACAGCGGTGCTGGTCCTTCCAGCCGCTGGCCAGGGGCCACACTCCATGCCAAGAGCACCCAGATCCCGGGGGGTGAGTCCTCAGAGTGACAGAGTGGAGCGCCACTGCGACATTACTGTCATGACTTAAGAGGAAGAACACGGGCATGGAAAGGGTGAGAAACTCGGCAAAGGCAGAGCCAAGCCGAGAACCCCAGATCGACTGTCCTCTCGCCCTGTCCATCCCAAGGGGGACAGGGGCTCCGCTGCCCACCCTCAGGGTGGCCAGCTGGTGACACCGCTTGGATCTGCAGCTGCCTCTACGACTGGTCAGAACCAAGCCCTTCTTGCTTGAGTTTCTACTCTGAGAAGGAGAGTAGCTCTTTCACTGAAAACAGAGATTTCCAGGCTAGAATGAATGAAGGAGAGATGGCTTTTCTGGTGCACTCGGCCAGAAGCAGCCTTTTCCCCCAGCCCTGGTTCCAGGCAGGAGCGAGCACACGCCCCTTGCACCCGCGCCCCTGCAAGCCTGGTGCGCTGGGAGAACAGCCGGGCACCCGCCCTCATTCCTTTTCCTAGCACGCTCATTTCTGACAGTGTTGGGACAGAGGGCATCTTGGGCACAGCACGGTGAGGACACTTGAGAGGTCACCGCTGGGGTGGGCACACTGAGCACAGGTTGAGCACCCGGAGCCAAAACCCAGAAGCCAGAGGTGCTCACACTCAGCCTTCGGGGCACCGGCGTGACCCTACAGTCGGGAATGCCACGGGGGCCTCGTGACGAATCACAGCCAAAAGGCAGGTGCACTCAAAGTGACCTCCAGGTGTGTGTAAGGCAAATACGAAACATTAGTGAATTCTGAATTCTGGGTCTCATCCCCAGAATACTTATATGTGTGCAAGTCCAGAACCCCAACCTCCCGCCTGACGGTCCCGGCTAAGGGACTCCACCTGTGTCCTCTCCAGCCCTGATGTCCTGAAACAGTTTAGCCAGTAGAGCCGGTGACCCAGGCGGCTTCACCGAACTTCGGGACGGGAATGGTCAAGTTCTCAGTTACCAGTAAGGCCAAAGACGCGGTGAGGTCATGAAGGGTTTGAGAGGCATTTGGTCAAAGCGGTCATCTGTCTGCTCTGACATCCGGGTGTGGGGAGACTGTCCTTCGTTGCTCACTAGGAGAGTCCCTTTCATTAATCCCCGTGTCATTCGCATGGATTTTCTCCGTGCTAGGGTTAGAGCCCAGGGCCTGTGCGCGTAGATTTAACACTGAACCGAGCACTGGAAAAGCTGAGAATTTCTTTCTTCCGGTGAGTTTCAGGCTGTGAGCAGTTTTGGAACTACCCATTTATAAATGCATCTCAATCTGTATTTATCTGAGCCAGGCCCACGGTGCTTCCAAGAACTGTGCTCAGCAGTTGGTTTTATTTCATTGTTACTGGCGCACACTTGGCGTACTCAGCGGCCACACTCCTCGTGGGGAGGCTGCACGTGTACCTAACGCCTCTGACTCTGTCCCCTCCCAGCGCCCTCCGCGCCCTCCAGCTCTTGTTCCCTTTCCGCCTGTAGAAGCACTATTCCCATTTTCCCTTCAGTTCTCCTTTCCAAATCCCTTTCCCTTCTCCACCTCTTGTTCCCTGTCCCATTTGGAAAAGGTCTCCCTACTTCTCGTTTCCTTTTATTTTGCACTTTATATTTTGGGTTTCTCATATAAGAGAAACCATGCAATATTTAAACCTTTGTGTCTGATTTTTCTCACTTCACATTATGGTCTCAAATCACTGAAGTTTATCCTTCTTCATAGCAGAGTAGTACTCCATTGTGTATGAACACTAATTTAGGAATTTGTTCTAAAAACACAAATTGGCCTCATATTACCATTTACTTGAGGTGCCCTGGTCTAGTCCATCCAGGTGCCTGGAGTCCAAGAGGTGACTGCAAGTGACACGGGCCGGGAGCTCCTGATGACAGAGTCTCCCACCATGTAGCCATGAAAGCCTTAAACCACTTCAGCAGCAGCGAAGAGCAGTGACCCTGACATCTCTGTCTCTTGCTTGTGCTTCGACCATAGAAATGCAAGCTCATCCTTTCTGCTGTTGGGGCTGTGTGGACAGGGACGGAGACAGTCAGTCCTCAGACACCTAGTGTGCCTGCCACGGAGCAACTGTCCTCCCGGACATGTGCGTGTGCGGAGACGCTGTGCTCTCAGGCCCGCAGTGTTACGTTACAGGCCCCTGAAAACCAGCCCATCTCTCTGATTTGTTCAGAGCAGTCCTGGGATAAAATGACTCTTAGGAATATCTTCATAAACACATAATATCGGGGGGACCAGGTGTGTCCATTAGTGGCAAATTGTGTATCTCATGTGTGCAAGGTGCCAGTTCAATCCCCAGCACCTCCCAGAATTACACAGAGAATTTTGAAAACACTGTTTGATTACTTACCACTTGTTTACTTAGTATTTCCCTCTCGTGTGTGAAAGCTAATCTTAGTCCAGATTCCTTCTCCGTTCTGTGAATGAACCGTGTGTCAGGATAGACTGCATCTTCCCAAGGCAGTGATCTCATCAAGCACAGTGTTTAAAGAGGCATCCCGCCGTAGGTGAGGTTGGCGGCTTGCACATGCTCAGAGAACACCCTGCCCCACTGACTGATGGCACCCTTCCTGTCTCAGAGAGAGGAATTTCACGACCTTGACATTTGAGAACCGCTGACTCACACCAAGAAGGGTACCGAGTTACCATTCGTGGCCTCTTTTTTATCTCCCACGTACAAACCAAGCTGGGCTCCCCCTGCCCGCTCTGTCTGAAGCACGGGGACCCCTTGTTTGCGTGGCCCTGCGCCTGCCCGCCCGCCCTCACGATTGCCTCTAACGCTTCCTGTTTCTCTTTCTCTTGCACAGAACCCTAACGCTCATCCGAGACCCACCTCCCAGGACCTGGCGGGCTTTTGGGACATGCTGCAGTTGTCCATAGAAAATATTAGCATGAAATTTGATGAACTCCATCAGTTGAAGGCCAATAATTGGAAACAGATGGATCCTCTTGACAAGAAGGTAGAACAATGTAGATTTTGTATGGTTCACTTAAAAACCTGCACAAACCCCGGACCATCTAAATAGGCCCTCGCGTCGGTCCTGCTGTTTACAATGTGAAATGGAGCTGACATCATATTAATCTCACTGTAATGACAATGTTTACACAGTAATCATTTGGGATATTATCTGTAATATGTTTCAGGCATATTTTTTAAAGAAAAACCTGTCTTTGTGAATTGGAAAAATGAGAATGTGGCTTTTTTGTTAATTAAACTTTAAGTTAAACCATTTTAGTCACTGGAAGGAACTGCCTCCATTTTGGTTTTTAAACTAAAATAAATGGCAACTTCAGCACATGATTCCATAGAGCAAGAGCTCAACTTCCTTACACCACAGGACGTGTTTCCGAGGGGAACAGGAAGCCCTGAGAAATAACCGACTTTGATAATCACTTCACAAATAGAGTAACAAAGAGGTCACGGTTGTTCAAGTCTGAACACATGCACCATGAAGTTCCACAGTCATCAAAAAGGTTGGGATTTTTTTTTTTTTTAAAGTTACACTTTTGGATGGTTTTGCCTGGGGGTTATTGCTCACTGGGGTCCACATGCAACAGTTTAGAAATAAAGACTTAAATTCCTTTACTTCAATTAACCAGCTATAGTTTCCTTTGGGTATGGTGGTTTCCTCCAGGCTCCTGCAGGCTCTGGGCCCCCAGGCTGTCCTGTTAGGCCTGACTTTTTTTTTTTTAAACTCTTTGCTGTCCATGGTCTGAAGTCAAGTAGTTCTGAGAAAGTTGACCTCTTTCTAAAGGTGAAGGAGGGGTGTCTCTTCCCGTGGTGATGGCCCTGCCTTTCCAAGTGCTAATGGCCATCCCACATCTCCTCTGCGGCCAGTCAGGTCATAAGAGGGCGCTGAAGTCAGTGGCTGGCAGGAGAAAGCCAGTCCCAAGGGACCGCCTGTAAGTATCAGGAGTGGGGATGCTGACATCACAGTCCACAGCTCCAGTTCTGTCACCATCAAACTGGCCTTTTAGGCTTCAGTGTAAAAGTACAGTTGATGCACGTGCGGCCTCTTACTCGGGGAGCCCAATGTTGTACCCCATCTACTTTCCTTTAACCCATGTGTAAAGTCACCTACCAAGACTTTAAACCGGGTCTTGTTTAAGAAAGCACTACGGGTATGCACACACTGGTCATTTCCTCCCCAGAGCGATTCATCTCATTCCCCACGCTTTGATTATTTAAAAATGATTGTTAAAAGTAAACTGTGCAAAGAAGGGAAAACACCTAAAAAGTTTCCAGTATTCATAGCTTTAAACGTGTCTAGTTACCCCAGCACGAAGACGGCAGTGCCTCAGAGGAGCGGCACCAAGCGCGGGCATCTGTCGCCCCCATGTGCAGGCAGTCGCCGGTTAGCTTGGCTGTGACGGCTTGGACGTGCATTTGGCTGTGAACACAGCTTCCCATCGCCCCATGAGCCCCAGAGGAGGAGACTGAGTTTTGGGGCCCTGTTGCCCTGTGGGCTCTGCTCCTCCCCCTTCAGACATCCAGACTCCCCCTTAAGCAACCCGGGCGACTCCCCCGTCAGATGCTGCACCAGGTTCTTCCCTGTCCGTGGAGGAGGACCCGCCGTGCCAGGCACCCACACAGGGACAGCCGGTGCCCCGGCAGAGTCACTCCATCAGATTTCCAGATAGTTCTCCGATTCCGTTTCATAGAAACTCAGGGCATTTTCTTTAAAACGGAAACGGGTTTATGTGGACTTTGGCACAGCCCAAGAGGTCAACATCCTTTTCCTAAAAATCCTGTGTGGTTCAGCCGCAGCTTCCCTGCACTGCCCTTTCCTGCCCGGGCACGGAGGCTGTGCCGGCCGAGGCGCTGAGCACATCTGACCGCTGATAAGCAGGGCGACCCCGCAGACCGATGGCATTTCCAAGGCTGTTTCTGTGCCTGGTGTGGAGTGGCCTCTGGGCCCCCATCGTCACCCTGAGGCCCCTGTGGACGGCTGTTCCTGGAAGGGTCCCTTGGAGTCACCTGGGGCAGGATGTCCCGGTGTCCCCCTCTGGGTCCGGTGTTTCGCTGCCTGTGTGGGACGCGCACAGGGTGTCCCTCAGGGCCCTCGAGGAGCTGTGACCCAGCCCTGCAGCCTGTCTTCCTCCTTTGGGGACGGGGCTGGGTCGCCCTGTCGGGGGGCGGGGGGTTATTTGCAAACTCTGTGCCCAGTTTGCCCCTGAGGGCTCACTGCTTAGAGCGGAAGCTGAGTTCTAGGTGCTTCCGTGGGGGCTCTCCCGGCCCTGTCTGGCGCCGGTCTGCAGAGGGAACCCCAGCCTTGGGCAATGCATGCATTTTAACTTTATTTATTTTGGTTTTTTGAGAGAGGGTCTCACAATGTAGCCCAGACTGGCCGTCCTCCTGCCTCAGCCTCCCGAGTGCTGGGATTTCAGGCGTGCACCACCACACCTGGCAGGAGAGGTTGCATTTGATGCCCCCGAATCCTGCCCTTGGAGAGAGCCAGCTCTGCACACCAGCCTTAAGCCTCCCGGGATTTCGCCCCACTCTCCCTCTGCATCCTTTGAATACCCAAATAACGAAGCAACACTTAGACGTAGGCAGGGTGCAGTCAGCGCCAACCTCCCGAGCGTTAGGAGGACAGGAAATGTGTGTGCGTGTGTGTTCCAACTCCTGACCTATCCCAGTCCTCCCCGCGCTTGTCCTGAGAAGCTGTGTAATGTCCTGAACCTTCTGCTTTGATCAGGAGAGGAGGGCCCCTCCTCCAGTGCCCAAGAAGCCGGCGAGGGGCCCCGCGCCGCCGCTGACCCGGGAGCGCTCGCTGGAGAGCTCGCAGCGCCAGGACGCCCGCAAGCGCCTGCTGGCCGCCAAGCGCGCCGCGTCCGTCCGCCAGAGCTCGGCCACCGAGAGCGCCGAGAGCATCGAGATCTACATCCCCGAGGCGCAGACCCGGCTCTGAGCGCCGCCCCTCCCGGACGCCCCGCCGTCCGAGCCGCCCCCACCGCCTCCTCCGCTCCATCCACCGCTGCACCCCTTTCTGTTCTGGGCCACCGCGTAGAGAGGCCGCCCGTAGGTCCCGCACCCTCGTCCTCTCCGGCACTTAGTGTGTTCCCGCAGCTCAGCAATACCACGCTAGGGTATTCCAGAAATCCGCACCTCGGGGACCTCCGGGCCTTGCTGTCTTCCACAGGAAAGAGGACCGAGGGCTCCGATCCCCCTTCTTTCCGCCTAAATGGTTATTCTTTTAAATAAATTTTTAAAAAGCAGACGGAGCACTTATTTCCAGCCTCAGAAAGAAATCACAGCATCTCACCGGAATGTGGAGGGACAGAGAGCAGAGGGGGCCGGGCGGGGTGCGGGGACCGGGGTGCGCGGGGCCCTGCGCCTCTCAGCTGCACGACCGCCTGTCACCTTCATCCACACGGCTTCCAATGTTTCCATCAGCAGAAGATTGTAAATTCGATCTTTCAGGGAAATTAATCTATTCCGAAAGGCAATAAAACGCAGACAGGCTAAGCAGAGGAGGCACCGATGGTTTAAGATACTCCTTAGAGTTTTGGTTTTTTCGTGGTTTGTTTTTTTTTTTTTTTTTTTGGTCCTACTATTCAGAGAAGCTGAAATGTTGTATCAACTTCCATAGTGCTCTGTGTATTCCGTCCTCGTTGGGGCGGTGGTTCCGAGAGGGCAAAGCGTTGGCTTTGTGCAGTGTCCGTGCCCGCGGGCCTGCCTGGGGACCCGTCCGAGCGCCCATGTGCTTCGAGGGTTTTCCGGGGAGGGCTGTGCGTTCCTGGCCTCCCTCAGCGCTCCGCGTGACCCATGTGCGGTTCACACCTCGGGTATGTTCTCTGCTGCAGCCTCCACTTCCTGCGCCTCAGCGCTCTCGCTCCCCAGTGTAGGAAACTGCCCTCGAAGCGGATAGAGTGAACTTGAGCCAGCGGAGTCACTGCCTCCTCCGAAAGGCTGCCCGTCCTCCGGGTTCCGGGTGGTGGGAGGAGAGGTCTGCCCTGCAGGTCGGCAGGCAGGAGGAGAGCAGGCCTCACTCTCCATAAAATCGGGAGAAATCCAGGTTTGGGGCAGAGAATGTCGGTTTGCATTTTGAGTCTCGACTCCAGGCAGTACGATCGGGGCCTGGAAGACACGTCTTTCAGCGCCCTTACTCCCTGTAGCAGTTTAAACCTTTAGAATATGGCGATTTTAAAGTGTCGCTGGCATTTTATGTCAAGCTCATCTCCTAAAATTCACCATCAAAAAAGAAAAACAAAAGAACAACATAAAAAAACAACATAACAAAAAAAAAAATCAAAAACCCAACATAACATCGAATATGCCTGCACCAGAGAAACTTTCTTTTTTTAAAAAATACACTCTCCTAGCCCGGTGCTAATTTCATTTTATTTATGAAATTAAGAGAGGGATGGTTTCTGGCAACAAATATTTTTCACAGACATATTCTGAAACCACTTAGAGAATCTGCTACCTCTCAGAGCCGCTGACGCTTTGAGCTATCTTTATCAACAGGGCACCAATGTTTACTGCTGTGGTTTACAAGAAAAGGGCTACTCATTTATTTCAAAACCAACTGACCAACTCTTAATTAGGGGACAAAGCACCCTGAAGTGCTTTGCAAAGCTGGAGCAGAAAGTCTTTGAGTATTTGCTAGTTTGGGGAAAAAAAAATAAAAAAGAAATACCCCTTTTCCTTACCTATGGCAGCAGCGGAAGGGTAGCAGAATGCTTGGAGTAAGGTGGACAGTGACCTTGGTGGCCGCCTCCAGTCCCCTGCACCCCTGAGAGGGACTCGGAACTCACAGGTGGTCACCCGGAAGCAGCATCCGTCCCCAAACCCCCGTTCCCGGCAGAGCTCTGGGCCCCGAGGGACAGCCGAGATTAAGAAATCGATTTCTAGTGAGGTTCAAAAGCGTCCAACAATATTTTCTTTGGAAACTGATGTAGCCCAGGATATTTTACAGAGAGCTAAGAGCAGTCCTATTTATCTTGTCTAAGTGAACGGTATTTGTATATTCATAAGCTATTTTTGGTAAGAATTTTAAACCTTTTAGCCAAATGCCTATAGGGTGTCATGACCTTTACCTTCCTTGACAACAGTTTAAATTGTACAAACACTTTATAAGAAGCTAATTATGGACGGTAGACCACGGCCCCACCCGACGCTGCTTGTTAACCCCTTGACCCCTACAGCTGACATCCATGAGCATACGCCTTTGTTACGTTGTTCTTTCTGATGTAATTTGTAGAAATGTTTTTTAGTTCATAATGGAAAATGTCAGTACCCTGAAAAATTACTTATTTTGTTTAACTTTGGTATAAAGGTGTCGGGCATTTTCTTGGGGAGGGGGGATTACAAAAGAGGTTTGTTGCCCATATCAAAAAAGTTCAAAGAAATTAAGTATTTATTATATTTTTTGCAGATGTTTCCATACAATTCACATAGCCTTTTTGTAAAGAGAGATGAAGAAATGGATTAAAGATTTTTAATATTTGAAATGGTAAATAGAACTAATTTATTTGTAATATATTTATGTTATTTATAGATGTTTCCTTCACGTTTTACTGTGCATTACCACTTTAATTTAAGCCTTATCCTTGTGAATTTACCATTTCTTTTTTAAAACATGTCTAGATGCATATTTTAAATAACTGGAATGTAAATCACTAGCATATCTGAATCCCCAAATGTAATTTTTAAAAATTATTTTGGCTTGGAAAAAAAAAAAGATTCGTTTGAAAGCCTTCAGGTGGAGGGGTGGGGAACATTTTTATGGCTTTCTGAATTGGAATTTCATAGGCTAATTTATCTAGATTGTGTGTGGACAAAACCAACTGTAAATAGATGAATGTTTCCCATAATGTAAAAAGAAGAAATTAATAAAATAATTAATGCCCTGCTTTCAGGTCTGTGTGTTTTCACTTGACTCCCATTTCTTCCAAAATCTGCATCATTCTTTGGAAAGGAATAGTTAAGCAGTTAAGCTCTTAAGAAGCAGTTATGCCAACGTTCATGGTATTTTGTTGTTGTTGTTCTGTCTTTGTTTTTGAGGCAGGGTCTCACTATGTAGTTCAGGGTGGCCTTCAACTCACTATGTGGCCCAGGCTGGCCTGGAACTCATGACAACCCTCCTGCCTCAGCCTCCAGAGTGCTAGGATTGCAGGTGTGCACCACCACACCCGCCACAAATGCTGCTCATTGGCAAGCAGGTGCGGCGAGATCTCGCACCCTGCTTAAGCGCAAGAACTTCGATAGTGAAGAACTGAAAAGATCCTTGACTCTATAACCACACACGTGGAGTTAGGGCCAGCAGCTGAAGAACCGGATGGCACGCAGGGAGAATGAGGTGTGCTTCAGGGAGGGCGCGATGCCCTCAGCACCCTTGCAAACCTTCGCATCTTCTGCCCGCATGGATTCCTTTCCCATTGTATTTCCTCCGGCTCTAAGGGCACAGGAAGGCAGCGCCCCCCGGGGCTTCTGTCTCAGCCGGGCTAGGGCAGCGCTCAGCGTGCAATCTCAGCGCCACAAACATGAACAAACAAAGAGCCTGCTGCTGAGGTTCCGTGACCTGGCCAGGGAGACCCAGCCACCGTGGGAGGGGTTTGAGTTCAAAACCCAACCCCTTATGCAGCTCCTTCTTCAGAGCCATCACTGTCGTTCTCCCCACATTTAAAATTACTGGTTATTTGCTGCTGTGTTTCCCTCGGTCCTAGCTGGAAACCCTACTTTATCCACAAAAACCCAGACTGACCAAAAATGGCCCACTGCGGTAACTCGGGACTGTCCAGGAGGAGGACTGGGGCTCAGGCAGTGGCTGACAATGGCCCAGCTCCACCCTTGGGCAAGTCCATCCACCTGTGCTGGCCAACCTGGAGCGTAACAGCCGCAGAACCGCTTGTGATTTTTGTACGTAAGCCACACCTGGGTCAGTCGCCAAAGCAACACGACCTGCTTCGAAAGAGGTGTGACCAAATGACAGGTTCCCGAGAGACGGCGCGGATCTGGTTGCTTGGGCGCACACGACCGTCTGTGTAGCCGGAGCCGTGGGCTCACGCCTTGCCTCTCCGATAGTTAATTCCGTTTCGTCGAGGCTCCTCAGCGTTGCAGCCAGTCCCCAAGCAAAGTGAGTTCAATGTCAAAATCTGGTTTTTAGTGAAGCAGTTTCCCACACGCCATGGTCCTCTCTACCCTAAAAATGTAACTTAGGTTTTTAGAAGAAATGGAGCAAAACTGTTGGCTCTGAACACATCGTCCTTTTCACACCTTTGAAATCCACCCTTGAGAATATAAGTTGATTTTGGTTTAAATAAACGATATATTAAAAATCGTAGCGTCTGAATGTGTTCCTTCTCGACTGCCGCGGACACTAAAAAGGGCCGGCATTTCCTTCTGATTGGCTGTGTGGAGTGCTTGACTTTCAGCTGCTAAGCCAAGAGCGAATCAATGCCGCTCGCGAACAGAAATTGGTGGCCCTGTCTGAAAACCCTCGCTCCATCCTCACTCACTCTCCAGCGCACGTCACTAACCCGGGTCTGGAATTCCCTGCCGGTCACCGGTGAGGCGACAGCGGCCTTCTTGGTGTCACGTTTTCCTCTGGGGCTCCTGCTGCCCCCGACAGCCGTGCTCAGAAAATCCCAGGAATGTGGAGCCTGTGTGAGCCCTGTGTGTGGGTGTGGACAGCTGGGGATTATTTCCATTTGTCTTCTATGTAAATCAGCACAAGCCCGAACTTAGAGAACGCGGCTGAATGCAAGGGAGCATTTTAATAAATACCAAAAGGCAAGCTGTGCCCTGCCCCTGATGCAGCCGTAGCTACTCCCCGCGCGCACTGTTCCTGCTCCCGCCGACTAAAGTTGCCACCCTTCCTCGTCCCATTTCTAGACTGTCCCTGAGGGGACAGACATGCTAACTTCACCAGGAACTGAGACCGGAAGCAGCTAGAGCCGCGCTGTTGCTCCTTACACGGAGACGTGCACATAGCTAGGGAGATGTGTCTTGCTACCCGCTCTGCAGCCACGACAGACCCGCCCTCCTAAATCCTGGTGCTTCTCCTGCTCCTAACAGCCCGCGCTGTCCAGTTAGAGACGCCCCCTGAGATGGCACAGGTGCTCAGCCTCCGCGCCCTCAGCTTTCAAGCCTGCAGCTTCAATCAACTGTGGATCCAAAAAACACGCAGTGTGGACTTGATCTTTCATTAGTCCTGAAGCAGTGGAGTGAAACAGCTACTTACCCAGCGTTTACATTTTGTTAGCTGTCCTAAGGAATCCGGAGATGAATCAAAGGGTATGGGAGGAAGGAGGCAAGCAGCGGATGTGCAAATCTGTCCCACTTTATATAAGAAACTTGGACATCGCCGTGGATTTAGGTATGGGGGGTCCTGCAGCCAGTTCCCATGGGCACCGAGCCTGAGGATAGCCACTTCCGTTCTTATTTCCTTCTCTTCCTCTGCTTTCTTTTTTTTTTAGATTGATATTATAACATTTATTAAAATAATGCTATGGGTTAATAGAAACAGCAAAGACTCAAAGAATTAAAATGCAAGCTATGTAAAACCCCAACTAAAACCCAGAAGTGTCTAATGTATTCATTCATTAACTAACTAAAAGCCCAAAAAACAAGACACCCAGTAAAATAAAGTCCTGCAGAACAGTTGGCAATTTTCACTTATCAAGACTGTGGGTTTTGCATTTTGTGTCGTTTTCTCAATCAAGAAGAAAATTCTTTTTGAATGTTATATAACACACATATAAAACAAGATAGAAAAATACATTATAAACTTGTAACCGTGGCTGTAAATACATTATCTTACATGTTCCTCATAGGCCATAGGTTGGTTATGGTGCATACATAGCGTGAAACTACTAAGGTATCAAAGAATAGACAAAAAAATACATGTCAGCTGTACGATAACATATAAGCGACACTCCCATCTACCCACACTAAACAATTACATAATACCGTCAGAAAAAAAGCCTTAAAAACGACATGCTTTAATAAGAAATAAATTCAATAAAGAATGATCATGCTGAGAACAAAGGCATTCAGAGATTTCAGAAGTCACGCTTCTTTTTCTCAGTTGATCCAAAAAATTGCCAAGTTTTCAAAAGTTTGTTCTGAGCCAACATTACTTACACATGTCACACATTTATTATTTCATACATTTACTTTCTTCCCCATAAAAGACCTTTGGTAAACATCTAAAGTGTCCAGGTATAACTCTGCTTTCTTTTTTTTGTTTTGTTTTGTTTTTTGAGACAGGGTCTCACTATGTAATTCAGGCTGGCCTTGCGGCCCAGCCTGGCCTCAAACCATCAGCAATCCTCCGCCTGCCTCAGCCTCCCAAGTGCTGGAACTACAGGCGAGCGCCTCCACAACCTGCTTGCGCTGCTCTTTCTAGGGCTTTCAAGTCCAGTGTCCGGAAATGTAGATGATACGACAGACATAGAGCTTCATAAAGTATAGCTGGGCAAACATCACCCCAGATTAACCTAAAACTTCTACTAACTGATAACACGAGGTCTGTTTTAAGGTTTGTTTGTCTTGGTATAGAAAATGTGCGCTTTGGTGGGTGACGCCTTCTTTAAAATACCAGATGTGTCACAGCGCTGCCCTCCAGAACAAACCTAACGTGCTCTGGAGCCTCAGCCAACCTGAAGTGCGTCCCACGCTGCAGGCAGAGAGGCGGCACAGATGGACATACCAGTCAGAGGAACGCAGGTGGCCAGTCCTGGCTTCCTCCCAGCGCGGCCCCACCGCACACACTTCTTCAGGGGCTTCTGCCCCCACCCCCCATCGCCCTGCCTTGCTGCTCTCTCCAGGGAGCCCAGCACTGCCACCCTCGGGCTGGGCAGCATGAAGGACTGGCCGAGGACTGCTGCCCTGGCTCCCAGTCTTGAGCAAGCAAGCACCCAGCACAGGGCGACAGAGGGGACCTCCCTTCCCGGGAACCTCCCTTCCCAGGGACCTGGCCTTGTACCTAGCGCCTAGCGCCATGGGTCCAGGGTGCCACTCTCCAGAGCGAGTGTGGGCTTGGTGAGCCATGCCAAAGGTTGGCATGGGGAAGCAGTGGCCCCAACATTGTAAACTTCGGCAAAGGGCGTAGGGAGCATGTCTTCAGATGACTCCGGGTGACTCCGGGTGGCTCTGACTTCACCATGGTCCCATAGGCACCTCCGTGGAAGACGGGTCACCAGGAGGCCAAGGACTGAGTTCTCCCTGCAAAGATAACACGGTGGAGCTGGGTTAAATATTCAACATACTCAACGCAGAGAACTGGGGTTAAACATTAAAGAAATGCGCACCTACAGAAACAACCAGGGCTTGACAGCCATGAGAATGGGATATTCCCGGGGAGAGGGCACCGGCCAGTGACAGCGCTGTCTCCTGGGTCCGCTCTTGTGTGACTGCATCTGCCGGGGGCAGAGCCTGAAGACACAGATGCAAGCATAAACACACACACACACACACGCACGCACGCACACACACACACCCGTGCTTGGGTCTTCAGCACAAACCAGTGATTCTCCAGCAGGGCTCATGCCAGCAACGTCAGGTTCCCAAAGACAGGGAAAAGTCCCTACTCAGCACCAGAAATATCCGGGCTCAGTTTGGATTTTTGCCTTCAGCTTGCATGTGTGAGTGTTGTTCTTGCTTTGTTGTGTTGTGCTTTGCAGCCCTGGGGATGGAACGCAGGACCTTCACACTGAGCTACATGTCCAGCCCTTTTTATTTTGAGACAGCGTCTCCCTAAGTTGCCCAAGTTGGGCTCGAATTCCAAGAGTGCTGGAATTATGGTTTGGTTTGGTTTCAAAAGTCCAAAGTGAAAAGCATTTTAGGATGTACTTGTCGCTGTAGCACAACCCCTATTATAGCCTATAAATACAATGTGGAGTTGTACCTAC